TTAAGCCTGGTGCAAGACTGTCTTAACTGAAATTAACTTGCACTGACATATCTTAAAATGTTATTGCCATTGATTTGTATCGTGATGCACGCCAGCAATGTTTTCTCTATGGCACATTTAAAAAAAAAAATTTTTTTTAAACTGCTTGAATGTTCTAATTAGTGCTGGGCGGTATGACCGAAAATTTATATCACAGTATTTTTCAAAATTATACCGGTTTCACGGTACATGACGGTATTTTTTTTTAGGGATGCACCGATATGAAAATTTTGGCCGATAACCGATTATTCTTTATTTTTGAAAGCCGATAACCGATATGTTGGCCGATAAATCTATATCCAAATTGTTATATACTTTTTGAGAGCCTGATTACAAAAAAGGTCTCATCATTAAAAGCCACATCCCAAACACTTCAACATAAGCAGCCTAGTTTGAACGGTGTACGTTTTAAAAATATTTTTACTCTCCCATTACCAAATTTAGTCATAAAAAAGTCTTACAAATAAATAAAATTATGCATAAATAATGCAAACAAGTCACTGGACATCATTACACGTGTAAAGAATCAAAATGAATGCGCCATAGATCAATAAAACGGAATAGCCTCTGCACGGACAATAATTAAATGATTTTAATTACTAAACCATATTGTTGATGAAAATAATAAGAGAACAATACAAGTGGTTGTTGTTATTAATAATGTATCGATGATTTTGAAAAAGTAACAAATTAATACCACTGTTTTAAATAGCAGCCGTTGAGCTGCGCGTGCTGAAGCTGAAGAGCTGAATGAACATGGTAAACTGAAGCGTTTTGCTGGCAGCTTATTTAACTCAAGGAAATGCATCCTGAGATTAATATTAATACAACATAAACATAATATTACAACTTATATATGTACAAAATGACGCAGTTATTGCATGCTATAGTCAGAATGTGTGATCCTGTTGTGGATGCGCTCTTCCCATAACAACGCGCTGAAACACGGCAACTAAACCCAAAGAATTCACAACGTTTTATTATAATAATGTTCTCATTAGAATGTTATATACATGACATTCCCAATCATAGTTATTAATGTTGTGCACTGCTGTTTGGGCTGCGTGTGCTGAGCTAAAGATGATCACCGGTAAACTGAAGCGCTCTTTTTAACTTAACCAAACGCATTCTATATGAGATAAATCAGATATACATCAAATAAACACAATATTACAATGTACAATTGCACAAAAGGCTGCAAACGAACAGCGCGCATCTGAAGTGTCTCTGAAGGAAATAATGCATTATTTATCGGCTTTAAGATATCGGCCAAATTTTCTTATCAGGCCGATACCGATAACAGAAAAAATGAGCCGATATGGGCCGATACCGATATGGTGGCCGATATATCGTGCATCCCTACATGTGATATTTACAGAGTAGGAGTGGAGTTGGAAACCATCATGTATTCTCAATTCATTCTTTCACTGAAGTGAATCCTGGTGTGGTTCAAAAGTTTGGGGTTGGTAGGATTATTTAATATTTTTGAAAGAAATGAGAGAGAGAGAATGACTGGAGAGATGAAATCACAGCACTGAATGAGCACATTCATTTCCAAATACATTCATCTCATGACCTGCAGGAGTACAGACCTAGGCGGTACCAGAGTAATCAAAACAGCCTAATCATATTGGATACATTAGTGTATGTGTCTGCTGTCTTGGAAGGTGATAGAATTGTATTATTTTAACATTTAATTTATGCAGACAGTTCAAAGGGATGCACAGTAATATCTGGCTTAGTTACTAATTAAAATATATATATATATATATTTTTACAGTTTTTCACTGATTGGTCCATTATAGGACCTCAGTGAAGCATGGCTCACATCAAAAACTTGCAGAGATGGACAAAAAAAAAAAGAAACTGCTTATGCTGGCATAATTCTTAATATTGCTTGCTGTATTATTGCATGTACACTACCGTTCAAAAGTTTGGGTTCAGTAAGATTTTTTTTTTCTTGAAAGAAATTAATGCTTTTATTCAGCAAAGATGCATTAAATTGATCAAAAGTGACAGTAAAACAATAACATAAATGCGGTTCTTTTGAACTTTTTATTCATCAAAGAATCCTGAAAAATTGTGTAGTTTCCACAAAGATATTAAGCAGCACAACGGTTTTTAACAGATAATAATAATTAGAAATGTTTCTTGAGCACCAAATCAGCATATTAGAATGATTTCTGAAGGATCATGTGACACTGAAGACTGGAGTAATGGCGTAATGACATAACAGGAATAAATTACATTTGAAAATGTCTTAAAACATAAATCACTTCACCTGATTTGAAATGTATTATGAGTTTACTAAGGTTTATGAATCTGTGTCTGACTCTAGTATGTTGCTGGGCTGGTGTGTCGGGGCCACAGTGCTGTTATATGTGTTGTACTCCTGGCTCATCCCCACTGTTGTGCAGTTCAATGGCAGTCTGGCGTTAATCTGGCACGATGTCATCGTTGAGCGGGCTCTTGATACTCTGACCAGATCAACTCGACCACAGGTGACTTAGTCAGTCCTGGCTAAACACAGCTTTCTATCACCAAAATTACAGCGTGTACCTGTTCTTTATCTGCAACTAGGATGCATAATGGGATCTTAAGACTGAGGG